ACAGACCACTTTCTCACCTCGATAGTGGTCGTTTCTGGTATGGCTGTCGCCTGTTCTTGTAGAGTGCTTGTTGAAGCACTCCATGTAGATGCTATCATTGGAATTGAGATAGGGGTAACAGCACTGTTCAATGCTACCAGAGATTCTCCGGACTTCATCTGAAAAGCTTTTATGAATGGTACCACTGCGTATACAATATCAAAGCAGGACCGTACAAGTGGAGCAGATAGTTAGTTATTTCTCATGTATTTGAACTTAAAAAACGCGCCTAAATATGCTAACAACTTCATCAAATTTTGCTCGATTATTATTTGAGCTGACGCGTTCGATACTTTTGTGAATTTCCACCTACTCGTCCAATGACCCCATGTAGCTGCTCTTTCGAGGTCAACGACAGAAGCTTGAAAAACAGGAATCGGTGATGACTTCGACTACATGTCAGCTAACACTCTTCAATCGCTAAGATGCCGAGGAAGTTTTTGGAATCCTCTTCCGTCAGATTGAGTTCGTGACTGAATCGTCTTCATTGAACACAACTTGGACAGTGAGTTGCCACCAAGTTGCAGCTTTAATTGGTTGCAATTCCGTAATATTAGGTTTCAGCTAGGCTGAATGTGTAAAAAGTAATAGCCATGTAATCGAAAACGTGTTGAGGTTCCATGCAGGGAAAGTTTCCCGAACCTATTATAATAGATTTAAGTTTCCTTGTGGGCTGAACTAGACGCTCATTCTTCCATGGAGGTAGGGTTAAGTAGGATCCGATCAAGTTGCATTCACAGACCCTAAGAAGCGTTTCAACCTTGATTCTTTCCTATAGGCATCAATTACTTAAAAATACCCTTTACCTCTTCTGTGTTTCCAATTAGTAGGAATGTACAAAATTTGCTGTTCGGTAGCATATTTCAGTGTTTTTTGTTTTGATTTGCATGAAAAAAACTTGTGGGAGCATAGGCGTCGCCTCAGGAAGACTTCTTTAAGTTCTTCGGACTTCGAAACAAAAACGAGAATCGGTCCTGAACATTATTACCTGACTCATTGCGTGTTCTTCTGCAGCTTCGATTTCCTCAAATATTTTCGGATCAAAAGGCTCCACAGTACCAAGCTCTTCCGATGACAACGTTGATGCTTCTTCTTCTGGAGTTAACGTCGGTTCTAAGAAGACAGTGATAGTCAAGTAACATTTGTACGCGGAATGTGTGACATTAACTTCAAGAAAAAGATTCGTAGGCGTTTACCTTCAGGACCGGGTGAAACCTCGATTTTGAAAAGCGAATCAACGACGGTGATATCCTTAGCCCATTTTGGACGAATGAAACCAGCTCGAGGTCGCCACCGTTCCCAGTATAGTTCGTCTTCTGCAGCCACCGTCAACCTTATGGTCATTTTTTGATCAAATTATATAATATCCAATACACTGCATCATGAGAAAATGAGGCTAGAACAATTTGGTAAGTTTGCTGTTGAGCTTACAGGAACTGCACGGCTCCAATGTCACGATCTGTAGTCCAGAGCAATTCGACGAGGAATTTCTTCCTGTTGTCTGAATGTGTAACGGAATCATTCGCCATTGAGTCGTCGCAATATTGATATCGAACACCTGAACGCAACGTTTAGCACGCTTCGTGAACCAGTGCATCGATATGGACAGTACCAAATGGTTCTACCCTACTAACTCGGCTTATATTTTCTGTATAATTACATGTTCAAGTCTCAGGATCCATAACACCTCATATCCATAACGTATCTAGCATCTAATTAATAGTTTTTAGACTTCTTGTGGCTCCGGCCGAGGTATGCAACGGCGGCCGTCTCGTAATGGAATTCCAGGCCCCCCGCACCCGGGGGAATGCGATCTGTGATCACGAAGAGTGCGATCTTCGAGACCAAACCCTGAGTTTGTACGAGAAGAAAGAGTCTAGCGAAAATCCGAGATGATAGGTTGAGCCCACTAACATCCGACGGTGAAGCAATGTAGTGAAACGATGGGCGAACACGAGATGATAAACGAGGTGGAACAGACGAAAATGTCCGTGGCGCGCGAGTACGGTGATGAATGACCACATTAGTTTATAAGGTACTTCATGTATAGAATAAACGGTATACAAAAGTAAATTAAATCAGGGCAACGAAGTATCTACTAATAACTTGCTGCTATAAAGAAATGTGTAAGCGTGAAAGTAGATGTGATCTGACTAAATAGGAAAGGTGTGATAAACAACATAGAAACATAAAAAGAATCAATGGGCTAAGTAAGTGAGATCAAGTGAATACTATACTACGTAATACTAAGCTAAATCTAGTGCAAATTTCTCACCTTACAACTAGGAGAATGAGTGCCTGAGAATAAGTGTCTTTGTGGTTGAGGCATGCTAATATGTTGTAGCGAGGTTGACTGAAGGACGAAAAGCTATGGTCAGGTGCCAGTCGAAAACATTGAAGCGAAGACGAAAGACAGCAAGTTGATGCCAAAGCCTAACTCACAAGCCTTGGACGGGAATGAGACCAGAAGAATGAAGAAGAAAGGGGCGTTTGGACGAGCTACGCACAACGCGTCATCGCGTGCGTGTGGGTCCTGGCGCAAATATTTGACTACGGTAAGCAAAAATTCATCCGCTTGTAAACATAAGTGAACAAAGAAACCTAGTTACAGCAGAAATGGTTCATCTTTTCAGCCTTCTGGCGTAGGAAACTAAAAAGGGATCGCGGCAGCAAATAGAATATTAGAGGAAAAAAGAATGGGAGAAAAACATTGGCTGGTCACTCGGCGATCAGCTGATTGTGTGTGGGTCCTGGGACGAATACTCGCAATCTG